CACGTAGCTCCCGACTTAAAGGTCAAATTTGTCGCAATATCCCTATATATACACTACTAGGATGCGCGTTAACGACGGCGCAGAGATACAACTATTCGTACTTGATGGACGTCCGTGCTGCATCGGAAAAATTGAAGGCGGGATGACGCGAAGCGTGAGTTCTCAATGCTCTGCTATGTGCTGCCAATGAGGTGTCGCTCATCTTCGGGAGAAAAGTTAAAAAATAGGCCCGAACACATCTCTTCTACCTTCGGCTGTGTTATTCACGTAGTGCTTGAAGCACCATTACGAATAAGACAAACGCAAGCAAATACAAAATGGAAATAAAGCGAGGGAAAGGATGCGCGTCAACAACGGCGCAGAGATACAACTATTCGTACTTGATGGACGTCCGTGCTGCATCGGAAAAATTGAAGGCGCGAAGACGCGAAGTTCTCAATGCTCTGCTATATGCTGCCAATGAGGTGTCGCTCAGATTCGGGAGAAAAGTTAAAAAAGAGGCCCGAATACGTCTCTTCTACCTTCGGCTGTGTTGATACTCGTTCTTTCTTCTTTTTTCAAGTTCTTCCCTTTTTTTTGTTTTCTTTAATTTCAGAAGTCTGTCGGTCACTTCAATACGTCCAATTTTACAATTTTTACTCTGTACGATTGATAAACTTTGAACCTGAAAATAGCGTAAACTTGTGCTGTTTTGCCAAAATTTTCTGAATCTCTCTCCACGAAGGGGATACCCCATCAGAAAATATCACATTACGCCCTTTAACCAGTCAAGGGTTTACGCCCTCAGACGCGAGCCAGTCCGATCCTGGTTACCTACATAGTTTTATGATCGCAAATATAATACGTTCAGCCACAGGTTCAGACAAATGAGTATTCTTTTTTTATGTACGAATCTATTAGCTGTTTAATTATACTTCATTTTGCAACAAAGGACTACAATGTCTGGCTCATCCAAAAAAGCACCTACCTGCGTACAGAGTAATTATTGGCACGTGTTTTTTTTTCTTCTCTAAAATAAGCCAGAATGATTGGCTCGTAATGGACCACTAGACAAGGTACGAATTTAAGCATTCTGATACATGTATTTTAACCAAAATTTCACGTAGAACACGATTTGCGCAACGAAAATTACTGAAACCAACTCCTAACGAAGCTATTAACATTTTTTTTTCACATTGGTTACGAGGAATTTGAACTGCCCACTCACAAGAAACTCAAAGCTCTACGTAAGTCAAATCACGCACTACAACGGTTTAGCAATCTTCTCAATCGAGCAATGTTCATTTCCCGCCATGTGTTTTTCAAACTATAAGTAATTTGCTATAGCTGAGCCAAAGTGTCAAGATTGAGGTTGCCAAATTTTTTCATCGCAGAGACGTTCATGATAACGTTTACGAGCGATGTGAATCACGTAGAGCATTGAGTTTTCATGAGCGCGTGCTTTGAATTCACGCACCAAGAATCATTAATATCTTCGGAGGGAGTTGATTTCGGTAATATTCGTTGTGCGCATCGTGTTTTACGTGAAATTTTGGTAAAGAAACGTGTATCAGAATGCTGAAATTCGTACTTTGTCTAGTGGTCCATTGCAAAATAAGGTTTATTTATCTATACCACTATTTATGGTTCATTTTAGAAACAAGCATGTGCTACTAAATGCTCTATGCAGGCGGTACGTGATTTCTTGGATTAGAGATGAAATCGTGGTTTTTAATGCAAAATGAAATGCAATTAAAATCTGCGGCAGCTGACTCATAAAAAAATGGGCACCTATTGAATTTTGAGGCAACAGGTTAAATGAGAGGAGACGGAGGGGTATGAGAAAAGAACTTTTAAAAGTCTTTCTCACCGTATTTCTCATAGAAGCAGAATTTCACAAACATTTTGCATGATTTCATCTCTTATTTAATTACGAACATATGTTTGAGGGCAATATTACCTACTAGCAGAAGTGTGTAAAATTGGCTTCCTTCAAAAGGCCAAAGGATGGCATATGGATTGCTTTTCAAAAAATGAGCTTCGATTTTATTTCCGAAATTAGGAGAGTGACCGTATGAATATGTGGCCTGTAACAAACAAAAATACTTTTAAAACGGAGGTATATATTTTCTCACTTTTTCACATATAGGCTGTTAAAGGAAGATAATAGCGATAGTGCAACGTATTTCGTTAAAGTCTACATGAGAGTCTCACCAGGATATGAGGAGGCACAGTAAAATTATCCAAAATTCCATCATGTGGCGATTTAGCGGTTTTGTCCTCAGGGCGGCAGCGGCACTCTCAATTAAAACGTTTAAAAAAGGCCTTATGAAATATTTGTTTTAGTGGTCAAAAGTCTCGCCGAAATTCTGTAACTTGTTTTTCTCTGGCGTGGGAATTTTTCAATAGACTTACGTCATGCTGTTCCTGCGTCATTCATTAATATACAGACCTAGGTAAATTCATGCATCGGGTATCTTTAGTAACGGAATAAAGCATTGGAGACGATCAGACGATTAGTATAAATACAGGGTGATCCAAAAGTCCCTTCCACCCCCTCTAACTTTTTACCTAATCGAGATAAAGATTTGAAACTTGGGGAATATTCCTAAGTCAAAGGGAGCTACTTTTTGGCCCCCTAAAATTTTCAGGGGGGCCCCCCTTGGGGAGGCAACGGCCCCCAACGTTTAATTTTCAAATGGGAAGACCCCCTTTGTGATAGCTTGTTCGAAAGTGCATAAAAAAAGAAAACTTTTCGCGCAAACCCGAAGTCAATATCTCAAACCGTTTCAAAATGGCGGCCGGTTAAAGTTCAAAATGGCCGAAAATTCACACCGGTTATTTGTCGATGGATTTGCGCGAAAATCGGTATGAAGGGGTATTTTGACACGAGAAAAACGAATTTGACGTTAGATTTTCAAAAAAACCAAAATTTCCAAAATGGCCGCCAGTTAAAGTTCAAAATGACCAAAAATTGATTCTTTTTAAATCTAAGTTCAAATTTGTTTATCTCATGCCAAAATACTCTCAAATTCCAAGTTTTAGGCAAATCCAACAGGAAAAAACCGAGGTGAAAATTTTCGGCCATTTTAAACTTTAACCGGCGGCCATTTTGGAAATTTTGGTTTTTTTGAAAATCTAACGTCTAATTCGTTTTTCTCGTGTCAAAATACCCCTACATACCGATTTTTGCGCAAATCCGTCGACAAATAACCGGTGTGAATTTTCGGCCATTTTGAACTTTAACCGGCCGCCATTTTGAAACGGTTTGAGATATTGACTTCGGGTTTGCGCGAAAAAATTTCTTTTTTTATGCTCTTTTGAACGAGCTATCACAAAGGGGGTCTTCCTATTTGAAAATTAAAAGTTGGGGGCCGTTTCCCCCCCTAGGGGGGCCCCCTGAAAATTTTAGGGGGGCCAAAAAGTAGCTCTCTTTGACCTAGGAATATCCCCCAAGTTTCAAATCTTTACCTCAATTAGGTAAAAAGTTAGAGGGGGTGGAAGGGACTTTTGGATCACCCTGTATGTATTTAAAAATTGTACCTCACTAATACAGAAGTTCAGAAAATACCTCAAATTCTTTCGATCTATTTCAAATTGTATGGTTTCTAATATTGGCCATTCGTCAAAATAATTTGGGTACCACTTAAAATACTTACGTAGTTATGTCGCAGCAAGCAGGAACGGTTAGACCTTTTAAACAAGATTTTTCTTAAGTCATTTTTGACGGAATTATCAACGAACCTTGATAACATGCGGAGGAGGTTTTTTCAATAAATCTGGAATGATTCCAAATTTTACTAAGGAAGTATTAATATCACTCGCTTTCCCGTTGGAAATTTTAGCCACGCTTGGTCTCAATAGAGTCAGAAAAATTATCGTAGCTGTAAGGTAACTTTCAGTGGACCCTATTGACACTGAGATAGTCGTGTGTTTGGCCATGATCAAATAAAATAAATTGCAGAGGGTAGATCTGAAAAAATATAAAAAAGAACTTGTATCAGTGATTAATGGCAGGGGTAATTAATGGGGTTTTGGATTCTTGTTAATCAGGGTTAATTAAAAATATAAAGGAAGTTTAAACAAGCAGGAAAGTCCAACACGAGGTGCTCCTACTTTAATCGACGATTTATGGGAGGAAAAGGAAGTTTAATCGATGAGTGACAACTTGAACTTATTAATAGAGGGAAGCTATGAAGTATATGGCTCTGAAAGGAAAACAAATTATTTTCTCTTGGTTCTTAAATTCAGGGATTTGATGAGTAAACCCTGTTTAATAACAATTCTGGGCCTAACACAATATGGATATAAAGCAAGAGAAACGACCGCGCGTTGACGACGGCGCAGAGATACAACTATTCGTGCTTGATGGATGTTCGTGTGGTATCAGCGAGATTGAAGGCGCGATGGCGCGAGGCTCCTAAGTGCTCCGCTCCTTATTGCTGCTAGTGAGTTGTCGCTCGGGTTCTTGAGAAAAGTTAAAAACGAGGCTCGATTACATCTCTCCTATTTTTTGATTTGTTGCGCACGTAGCCCTTGAAGACCCGTTACAAGTAAGACAAACAGAACTAACGCAATATGGAAATACGAGGTCTCTTAGATTAGAAACCGGATTTTGGTCATAACTAGCCCACAATGCGTCCAAATTACGATTTTTTGAGCTTTTCTGATAGCTGGAAATATACTTAAGAACGCTACATTCACAGATTTTGTTGATTTTGATCAGTGTTTATTCTGTGTCATCTCGAATACGAGTAAGTCAGGTGCGTTTTGCGATTTTCATCATGCGATCACTGATAGAACAAAGATTCAACATTAAATTTTGTTTTAAACTCGGTATACCTTGTATCAAAACTTTTGGTATACGCTAAATAAAGTTTACCATGATCATTGTTTGAGATGTTCCCACTGTTTTGAATGAGTTAAACGATTCAAAACTGGTCAGGAGTTCGTCAAAGATGAGGAGCATGGGAATCGACCCTCAACGGCAACTGACATTTGTCACGTGGAAGAAATGCGGGCAAAAGTGCTCGAAAACGGTCGTTTCGAGCTTGTTGAACAGAGTAATATTTCTGAAGGCTCTGTACATACAATTTTGATAGAATATGTAGACACGCATCGAGTTTCAGGTACACTTGCCCCTTGATTATTGTCCGTTGAACGAAAATCAAACCAAATGTCAATTTCCCTTTAGCTGCTTGAACGTTCTAACAGTGATCCTACATTTTTGGATAGGATAATTTTCGGTGACAATATTTTAGTGTACGGCTACGATATGGAGACAAAACTCCAGTCGTCCTTGTGGGTTGAAAAATGTAGTGGAAGACCGAAAAAAGAGAGGCAAGTTCGGTGAAACATAAAAATCGCAAAACACCCTTGA